CTTTTAAGAAATGGAGGTTCGTTCTTTACTGAAAATGACTGCATACTTTGCTAAAAGAATTTTCTTCTTTTTAACAAAATGCAGAGAATAAAATTTCATTCAATACCATCTGAAATTTGAAATTTTTCTTTCTTTTTTTTTTATCGAATCATTGGCTTATGATGTAGAGAACTGCATCGTTTTTTTCTGAGCCTTTACTGATGTAATTCCACATTATATTGTATTTTACGTAAAAAATAAGTTTGAAAAAAACTTCAAATTTATTAGAATTTTATTATAGAAGCAGTTAAACATTGAACGAAATCATCTTAAGTAAGTCAATTTGCTGAACAAATTTCTAATTTTTTTTTATTTTTTTTTGACAATCAAATAGTGTGTGTTTGTTATTTTATACTACCGAAGACAGGATATGATGTACAAGTTAATTTAAACACATTCTAAATTAAGAAGGAGCAGTCTGTCCTAAGAAAAGCGGGAAATTCGCCACGTACTCTTCAAGCCGGTCATTTTCTTGCACATGGCTACTGTTGTTGGGAACTTGTACTACATAAAGATTAAAGTTCATGACCTCTCCGTATAGTTGTGGGAGACGCTTCACCTGGTTGCTCTTCATCATTGACCTTGAATGCAGGACCAGTCCAAACAGTTACGCAAACAGGTACTAAGGTTGCGAAGCATGCTTTGAATTTAAATCATTTTGTACGCGTTATTCACTGCTGCACAGCAAACAAAATATGGAAGCAAAAGTTTAATTCTGCATAAAATAAAAATAAAATATAAAATAAAACCTCGACGAACTTTTAACATTGAACAGAAGCGATTCATCGAAAGAATTTTGTAAGAAAGTCTTTAAAATATTCAAATTATTTCCCCCTCCCTTCCCTCTTTTCAACGATGGCCAAAGTAAAAGAGAATCTCTAAAATCGAATGAAAAGACGGAAAAGGAACAGCATCTTTTTACTTTTAAAACAGGACAATGGAAGAGATCAAAAAGCGATCATTTGACTTTTCTACACTAGAAACCGGAAGCAATTACGACGTATTGCATGTTCGCATCAATTGTCCTCCTTTTTAGCCACAATTTGGAGTAGTTCATCTTTCAAGCAGCAAGAAGTAGGAGGCTTAATACTAGTACAAGACTGTTTAAGTTCAATTTCGATCAGACTCTATCAGAATGCAACAGATCTACAGCATAATGAACCTTTTGTAGAATTTAGAATAGAATTTTCTCTTCAGAAAGACAAAAGAAACGCTTTTTTTTTACCACTTATACTTTTCAGAGTTAAATCATAATTTAGATTTAACTCTGAAAAGTATAAGTTTATGATTATTTAGAGCATTGCACTCGTAAAATTTAACTTAAGTAAAGCATATCCGGTTAGACAAGACGTGACGAAAGTAATCATTTGACTTTATTAAAATTAATTTTTCGTCGTTTAAAAATCTCATAAAAATTTTAAACGATATCACGTTTAAAATTTGAAATATAACACGTATAAATATTTTAAAAATCAACTTTAATTCCCTTAATTGGTGAACTTTAAACCTTAGTAATTATTAAAGAATTTTAATTATTTAAAAATCTCATATAAAATAGATAACGTTGATATTGCATTCTAAAACTTTCAAAAGAAAAAAAAAAGAAAAATAAACGTTGTAATCGATTTACTGTTTAATTGTTTAATTAAAGATCCATCCCGAATTTTATGTTTTCCCATTTATCTTCGGAATTCTTGGCCATTTCCTGACTATAGCAGCTTGTAACGCAACGTGACTAATGTCGAAGAAAGTTCGATTACGTCTAAGATGAAATTTTCACGGTAACACGCAGTAAAGGTGGCGACTTTTACTGAAAGTAAACAGATCTTGTCAGTTAGAAACAACATTAATCTGAAAATACAGCAGAAGAGCAGTTACTGTAGACTATAGTTAAAATCACCTACACATCATCAGAGATGGTAAAGTCTATAAGGAGACATGTGCAAAGAATCATGTTGCTCTACGTTATTAGATTTAACTCAAGCTATTTTGGATGTTCTTCATTATTCAGTTGTATTTTTTTCTTCCTTTTATTTCTTTTTTTTTTTTTACTTACACCGAATGAACCAAACTTGCTGTATATATGTTTACTTTACATATATAAAGGTGTAAATCGGGGAAGATACAAAAATCGATTTTATATAATTCTTGTAAAATTATGTTTTTTTTTTATTTTATTAATGCAAATTCTTACAAATTATCTTACTAATTAGTTAAATAAAAAATGTTACTATCCCCTTTTATTACACTGAAATAATTGTTAAATCAACAAAATGTTCGAAGAAGCGAATGAAGTTTTACATTACTAAATTTACAAAGAGGTTGATTACGGATTCTATTCTTTACAATTCAAATTTTTTGGTGCCAACATGTGCAATTTGTTGAAATTTACACCGTAGAGATTCGATATATATCAAGAAAAAAAAAAAAGAGGGTTTCTTACCATAAACTCATTATCCTACTGATACAAAAAAGTTTTAAAACTTGAATTATGTAAACTATTTTTTATATAAAATAAACAAAACTTAAAAGTAACTTTAACCAACTTCATCACAGCCCAGTGACCTGAAATAGAAATTTTTTTAAGAGTATATATTGTTTTTTTATAAATATATTTTCTAATTTTCAACAGATGCTTTAGAATAATAAGATAAAAGTTAAAAAAAAAACAGAAGTAAAGAAAGTTGAAAATCTATAAGTCAAAAGATGAGAAGGAAAGGAAGAAAAGAAGAATTAAGATGTCAAAGCACGAGAAAGTGTAACAAGAAATATTTACACAAGATGGTTCCAAGACATTGCCAAACTATCGATTCTCGGAGTTGTAGGTAAGGTTAAGGCATCTTGTTTACATGACCTGATACACCTTAAACCTATCCTATTGATTGAAACCCTTACAGTAAAATCCGATTTAGTCATGCGTTTTTTTGAAATTTATTCTTAAAAATTTAACTTTTGAAGAAAAAAATGGCTATATTGGAATTTTTAGAACAAAAAATACATATACACAATAAGCAAAAATAACAACGATCTTCTACTGCAACTTATATCCGTCCCCGAGGATATCAGAAACTTATAAGTAGCAGTAAGTGGAGCCTTATAACTGTATTTTAAATGCCCATAGGCTAAAGTTTAGATAATAATTCGGAAATATGATACTATCCGGATGTTAAATGTGTGAATGGAGTTTATATTCATTTGGGAAAGCCATTGATTCGCTCGACCTCGTCGATTTAACCTTTAAATGCTCCATTCGAGGAAAATTGCGATAATTAAGAAGGCAGAAATTAGGACAACTCTCGTAATCCTTCCAAACTTCATTAATCCAAATTCCCGTCTACCTAATTTAGAAAGAAGTAGAGAAATCCTCAATTCGGAAAGATTGCAGTCTTTAACTAAATCCTTTACAAGTAGTCTTTAATAAATCCTATAATCTTATTTAGTTCTCGATCAGAAGTTTCCATATTTTTCTTTTTCTTAGCTGAATAATATTTATATATTTACAAAAGTTTGCTAAGAATATTTTCTTAGCCTTTTCACTTACCCTTCTCGCTAGTCTTCATTCTACATTATTTTGTAATCAATAGAAATGACGTCCCAAAACATCCTTCGTCACTTTTATAATGAAGAAAAAGCAATAAATTAAAATTATAATGAGTTTAATCTGAGAAAACAATCAAAGAAAAGTTTTGTCACAGAATAAATTGTGATGGAAGCCAGAAACTGTCACATACGCTGCTGAAAGCACAAACTTAATAGAAGTTACTGCAACAGTTCGACTAAAATTCGCTTCTAAAATGCTGGACCGCCGTAATTAGCCTATTTAATTATCTTAAGCGATCTACATCGGGACGATAGCCAGATGCTGTTTGTAGATGGACAAGATCACTCAGTGCACGTGTCGCCAAAAGTAGTGCTAAAGGATTTCATATCGAATGAGGGGAGAGTGAGTTATCTCTTTAATCTATATAAATATAAATACATATATAAATAAAAGAGGAATTGTCTTATTAAAAGCTGATGATAGTAAGAGAAATAAATTTATCTTTACGAGCAATGTAAAAGTATTTATTTACACTATAATAGATCTACATCAACTCGTTCTTGCAGTTTCCAGAAGGGAGAAGAAAAGCGTAGATAAACGTCGTAAAATTCTTCTATTTATTTATTTAAATGCTTTCTATAAAATTAATAACTAAAACCGAGAGAAGATTATATTAACTTTGATTTTTGTAAATATAAACACACGCAATTTTATCGTAATTGGTTCTATATGTGTAAGAAGCAGTCTTCTGTTTAATATTTAATAAAAATTTCTTATCAATTAAAACGTGTTAATTAAAATAAATTGCCAAATAGTTTTATCTCCTAAGAAACTAACCTGTTAGCCATACTAATAACATTTCATTAAAAATACAGAAGGTTGATATTTTGCACATTTTATTTTTTTTTTTTACTGTTATAAATCTTGTTAAATTTATTTCTGATGCTGTAATAATTTTTCTAATCTGACAAAAACTTTCTCCAGCATCTTGTTTTTTGGTAAACTCTTCTATTTGGTAAGAAAGTTCGATTACGTCTAAGATGAAATTTTCACGGTAACACGCAGTAAAGGTGGCGACTTTTACTGAAAGTAAACAGATCTTGTCAGTTAGAAACAACATTAATCTGAAAATACAGCAGAAGAGCAGTNTTTCAACTCTATTTTTTTTTTTTTTTTTTGTTTTTTCCTCTATAAAAAAAATCAAAACTTATATAAGATATATATCGTATTTCGTTTGAAAACTTAGGCCTATAATATTATATTTTACAGAATGTCTTTAAAATTAAACTCTATAGTTTCTAGATAAATTCATCAAGAACAATTGTATGAGTTGATTGTAAAAGCATCCCTATTTGGAAATAGAATTGGAAACTTCTTTCGATAATTTACCACTTTTTCTTTCTTTCTTCCTTCTGTAAAAACCATTCAATTTACTTCAATCGATAATACTATTTTTCAGAAAGTTCTCTTTATAAAAATCTTGTTTTACTTTAGAAAATCTCGTTCTTTCGCGAGTTCTCTATTTTAACTTTACCTTTCAGGCCGAAGACTAAGAATGTATTTCTTTTCGTAAATTTACTTGTCTGTGGATTTCTTTTATGTTAAAAAAAATCTGATTTGAAATATATTTCGGAACTCAGAAAATGAAATTCGATATAATTTCGGATAAGATTTTACAACTCGATAATATTTTACATTGTCAATCTTGTTTTCAAGAATATTTTCTTATAGTTAATTTTATCCAGTTTGGAGTACATTTTACTGAAAATATATAACTTATTATTATTTTTTTTTCGATTTAGAATAATACATTTTACAATTTTTTTTCTAGTAAGAAATTAATTTAATAAATTAATACGAGTGTTTATTATTATTATTATAAGATATTACAGTGAAGTAACACAATTTATGGGTGTGCATTGCATTGAAGTTATACCCCGTAAACAATTGAAAGTTACATTTTAATGACATGAAACTGATAAATAATAATCATGTTTCAATAATAGTGAAACGTGGCATTTCTAGAGTTGTGTGTTAGTTAAGATAAGATTGTATTAGATTTGAGTAAAGTGGCATAAAATTAAGTTACATTGGAAGCGATATTGTCAGATTTAATTAATAAGAATAATATTCTAAAGGTATAGCTTTAAGCGACTAATATGACGTTTAAAAGATATTAGTGTGAATTAGTTACGTTATTCTAAATATCTTAATATCCGAAATATATATATATATATAATTTAAACTACGTAATTTATGAATTGTTGAATATTCTCCAATTTATTCGAAAATGATTCGTTATATGTAAAATCTCATAAGAAAAAAAAAATGTTTTGTTTATAAATTTGAGAAAATATTGTGTAAATAGTAATATATTTTAACATTATTTTTGCATTTTTCACACGAGTGATGTGTTAAATGGAAGTCTTTCCCTCCCCAAGACATTCGCGATGGAAAATAAAAGGAAATAAATTGAATTATTTTAAAATAATCTAAATATTAGAGAAAATTATAAACTAAAATAAGTAAATTTTTACAGAAAATATGTGAATTATTTTCATATTACTCTCTTCTTTTTTACGAAACAAAATGATGTTACTTAGATTTCGATAGTTAAAAATAATTAAATTTATAAAAATTTTATTGATAAAAATAGTTTATTTAGTATACTTTTTTAATATATATTTAAAAAATTAAAATTAAATAATCACGTTTAAACGATACAGTAGATAACTAAAAACGGGAGACCAGAATTAGAACGTGCAAACCCACATCCACCCCTGTAGCATTGTAGATGTACAGTACTGTCTGTACTAGTGGCATTAGTGCTGTGAATGAACAGTAGCCTATAAACTCTTAGATACTGTAAATATATAAGTGCGTTTGTAACATTCAAATGTATTTCCTGTGTTTATTTATAATGATAAGGGGCCCGGGCCCCCTGATTATGCAACAAAAATGATGTCCAGAGATGTCACGTCATAAAACGTGACGCAAAATGGCATTGATTCAAGCCAAATATGATGGAATTAAAATTAAAATTTATTTAAATCAGTAGTCACGGCAGTGACTCCCCGCCAAGTATATAAACGATTATGTAGCGACTTATGTTTATGCGAATTTACTAGCTATAAAGTCAGCATTAAAGATTTTAAACGTATCTTATATATTTAGGCTTGCAGACTATTAATTTAAAAAAAAAAATTGTGGACCTAAACGTTAACAGAATTATCTGTTTTGATTTATAGTTTAGAAGAGCATAGGTTGCACATGTCTTCTTCTGTTAGATGGGAAAGACACTAGTTCCAATAGGTAGCATTGACCTAAATATGGTCGAATTGATCATTAACTATGTTCTTCATCATTAAGGTCGATTCACTTTTGTGAATAAAAGCAAGAAAAGTTTTCATGTTAAAGAAAAAAAGTAAAAGAAAGTTTCCTTTCATATCATGTTTCTTTTCAACCATTTTGTTCTTTGTGTTGGACTGCGATCATCTTTTATCATTACAGAAAGTTGTTTCTGGATGTGTTATGCCCCACTATAAATCTTTAATAAAAGATTTATAGAAGGGCATAACACATCCACAACGCATCTTTCTATACTGTTTTTTCTTCGAAGCACATATATTTTTAATAACGAAATGACTTTAACCTAATTTGCATTTTATAAAACAAAAAAAAAACAGAAGAAGATTTTCAGGTTTTACTCGGTTTTATATATAGGCCTATATATAATATAATTACAAAATTTTAACGAAATTTAGAAACAAAGATCGCTTGTTTAGCATGAAAACAATACACAGTAATAATATATAGTTGAACTCTTAAGGTATATTATCGACGAAGCGTGAAAGATAAATTGAAAAGCATTGGTAAAACGAGAAGATGGAAATCAATAATTTGAAGAAATAATCAATAAATTGTAATATTTCTAATTATCTTTGAGTTACAATAAATATAAACTTATAAATAAATAAATTTGTAAACCGTATCTTTTAAAAGAGATTCAAAAAAACTTGTATAGTATAACAAACGTATCATGATGACAAATTACATCTATTCACTCGAGTAGTACGTGAATGACGTCGACATTACGAAATGATAATCTGTTCTATCGGGGCATCGACCTTTATATCACAGCTGACTTTACTTCTACTCAGACGAGTTTGCAACACGTGACTAGCGTAACCGTTTATAAATTTATAAGTAATTTTTTTTCCCTCTTATTTTTTCCTGTTTTACATAGTCTCAATATAATAAATTAAGTTATCTCGCTATAAGTTTCTAAACTAAATAATAATAATATATATATATATAGCCTATATAAGATCGAAGAGGAGTTCGTCAATGCGATAATATTCCTGTGTTATACGATGACTTTGCTCAATATTGAATTTATTCATTTAGAAAATAAATATTAAACGTTTAATCTAATGTTATTAATTAAAATAATTGACTAATATTTCCAAACGAGAATGCAAATTAATTTTGCTGATGGAAGGTTTTCTCCATAAAAATAGCTCCAATATTAACTATAAAAATTACTGGAAGAAATTAAAAAAATAAAAATTAATCTATAGAATATTTTTCTCCCTACAAAAAGTAGAATTTTACTGATAAAATTATTTGTTGAAAAATATTTTAAAATTAAAAATAATTGCAGAAAAAAAAAGGGGGAGGGGAAAAATTACTGACTAAAATGTCGGCGAAAAGGGTGTATTTTTTTTTATTATAAAAAAAACTGCTTTAAAATGTTAATTTGATATTAACACGTATAATTATTTTCTTTTTTATGCAAGATAATTTTAAATATTAGAAAATTTAAGTTCAAATCGTTCAGAAAGTTGAAGGAAAGACGGTTATAAACCTAGACAGAGAAAGAAAACAGAAAAAAAATTACATATAATATATATATATATGGAAAAAAAAAGAGTAAGTTGTTTAATTGCCGTGAAAGACGGTTGTGTCTGTAGTACGGTGAACAACACGAAGACAAACAGGTTTGTCTGAAAAGGAAAAAGTGCAACGGTCAGAACACCTGCAGAGGACAAAGAATGACTCATCATCTCCATCTTGTCTGTAATAGTGCTATAAGGAGCGATTGGGAATCAACAGCCTTATCAAAACCTTCCAAATCTAATTCAATCATAAATTGGATACTACAGAAAACTAAAAGAATATTTAGAGCATATATAATAAACCAAAAAAATAAAAAAAAAATCTAGAATAATAAAATAATTTATGGTTAAATTAATCAATTTATTTTTTTTTTTAAGCACGTGAAGCGTATTCTATATAACCCGATTTATTCCTGTTATTCTGGAATATTTTCTTTGTTTGATAACATACAATATTCTTGTTCCTGACAATTGTTCTCGTATTTTAGTGATAAGGAGTAAATAAATTAGGTTGATTTATCGTCTGATTTTTCATATAATGGGATTGATTTATGTGATTTCTCAGGGAATTAAAATTAAAATTTATTTAAATCAGTAGTCACGGCAGTGACTCCCCGCCAAGTATATAAACGATTATGTAGCGACTTATGTTTATGCGAATTTACTAGCTATAAAGTCAGCATTAAAGATTTTAAACGTATCTTATATATTTAGGCTTGCAGACTATTAATTTAAAAAAAAAAATTGTGGACCTAAACGTTAACAGAATTATCTGTTTTGATTTATAGTTTAGAAGAGCATAGGTTGCACATGTCTTCTTCTGTTAGATGGGAAAGACACTAGTTCCAATAGGTAGCATTGACCTAAATATGGTCGAATTGATCATTAACTATGTTCTTCATCATTAAGGTCGATTCACTTTTGTGAATAAAAGCAAGAAAAGTTTTCATGTTAAAGAAAAAAAGTAAAAGAAAGTTTCCTTTCATATCATGTTTCTTTTCAACCATTTTGTTCTTTGTGTTGGACTGCGATCATCTTTTATCATTACAGAAAGTTGTTTCTGGATGTGTTATGCCCAACTATAAATCTTTAATAAAAGATTTATAGAAGGGCATAACACATCCACAACGCATCTTTCTATACTGTTTTTTCTTCGAAGCACATATATTTTTAATAACGAAATGACTTTAACCTAATTTGCATTTTATAAAACAAAAAAAAAACAGAAGAAGATTTTCAGGTTTTACTCGGTTTTATATATAGGCCTATATATAATATAATTACAAAATTTTAACGAAATTTAGAAACAAAGATCGCTTGTTTAGCATGAAAACAATACACAGTAATAATATATAGTTGAACTCTTAAGGTATATTATCGACGAAGCGTGAAAGATAAATTGAAAAGCATTGGTAAAACGAGAAGATGGAAATCAATAATTTGAAGAAATAATCAATAAATTGTAATATTTCTAATTATCTTTGAGTTACAATAAATATAAACTTATAAATAAATAAATTTGTAAACCGTATCTTTTAAAACAGATTCAAAAAAACTTGTATAGTATAACAAACGTATCATGATGACAAATTACATCTATTCACTCGAGTAGTACGTGAATGACGTCGACATTACGAAATGATAATCTGTTCTATCGGGGCATCGACCTTTATATCACAGCTGACTTTACTTCTACTCAGACGAGTTTGCAACACGTGACTAGCGTAACCGTTTATAAATTTATAAGTAATTTTTTTTCCCTCTTATTTTTTCCTGTTTTACATAGTCTCAATATAATAAATTAAGTTATCTCGCTATAAGTTTCTAAACTAAATAATAATAATATATATATATATAGCCTAT